CCAGCAGGTTCTGTGAGCCACAAAACTCACAAAGCCTCATTCTTTGTGAGTTTGTCTGTCATCCCTAACTGCAAGGGCTGATTTAAGATTTTCCTATGGCTGTAATATTTATAAGGACTTCTTTTGATAGACTTCTTTCTACATTACCTGGCTGTATTTTCATGAAATTCGGAAGAATTCAATTGGTATGAGTCCAGTGGTTCAAAAGTTATTTGTAGGGACACCTGGGCACCATAAGCCTTTATGTCTTACTTTTTTAGGAAGGCAAACTAAAAGTCACAGAGTTTACATAAAGACTTTTTGCTATTTTTATGTTTTTCATTCTACTCAAGCAAGAAACAAACAAACAAAAATAATAGGGGAAAAAAAATCATGTTAAATTTGTTCCGAAACAGAAGAAAAAATACACACCTTCAAAACATAGCAAAGTAGATGAGCTCCAAAGACTCAAAAACACATCTTTGTTACTAAGCAAGTGATACTAGTTGAGAAGTTGGGGTTTTTTTTTGATTCACAGATTTTATTCAGCTTTATTTTCATGAGACCTACTTAATAAAAGGCATTAAATATTTTAGATGAAAATTCCTACCAGCATACTACTAACTCTTGATTCAATCAAGAACCAGCACATCCTCCAAGACATCAAATTGAAAGAAACAAACCACCACAGTAAAGGTAAAACCTTCAAGGCTCACCAATTCGTAAACCTTTACACATCAAAAAGAAACCAAGAAATTTTTTTGAAGGACAAAGGGGAAGAAAGGTAGAACAAGTTCCTTCTCCTCCTCTCCGTACTTCCTCTAAATCTAGGATAGCATTTTCGCCCTTCACAGCAGCTCCAGAGACTGTGCAGTCTCTTCTGCGGTTTTTTCAGACCTCACAGGAGGAAAATGAATGTGAAGATGAGGAAACTATTGTTTTGCACTGAATGCATAAAATCAGATTCTGAAGATAAAAGTTATTGGATGTTAAAACAACTTTCTTATCATCCTGCTCTCCCAGGCCAGGTAAGTGTTTCCACCAGGCAGACTTAGATTTGCATATAATAAAATTTCAGAGTGCTTCTCCAAATTTTTTTCAGGTAGCTTCGCAGATTAACCATCACCTTAGTGATGGAGCGCTTACCCTTGGAAAGATTCACAGCTAACCATTAGGGGTCCTATCTAACAGGCACAGTAACCTTAATCACTGTGACATAAAAGAAGCAAAGTAGCCACTGAGGAAACAATTCAGTAGGAGAGAAGTCAGAGGGCAGACAGACTTCAAGGCATTCAAGACAAACCTAGGAGGTGCTTCCAGAAAGCCGTAATGCAGGATGACAGACTTGCTCTTTTAAATCCCTTGCAGGGTGGTCTGACCCCGGCAGCCGTAACAGCTGGATCTGGGTTTTGAGACCCTCTGTGACCCCCCACCTCAACAGCGCAGACTTTTGCCTACCTCCACATCACAGGAAAGCAGCTGACTTCCCCATCTGGCGGCAGCTGCCATTGAAAATGCTCCTCCTGCACCTGCTGCAGAGATCCAGGCAGTTGTTACACAGCGAAGCTGGAAGGGACAACTGCTGCTCCTAACACAGAGAGCCAGGCTGTTACTTCTGCAAAAGCTGGGAAAGCAACAAACAGCTGTTGCTGACTCAAATACAGAGTCAGGCTACTGTTGCCCCGACAGATAGTGGGTGGCAGTTGTTGCACAGAAGCTGGGAGCAAATGGTATTTGGCAGCAAGGCAGAATTTATTTCACCTGTGGCACCATTCCCCTTCTCGCCAAGGCAAAATTTAGCAGTCAAAAGTACCCAGAA